TTCCAGGTAGCATCGAGTAACTATAGCCTCTAGGCAGCCATCAGGCCATTAAGCCATTGAGCGATGGCATTGCCCTTCCCTCTTGCAAGTAATACTTGTCTTAGTGCTCAACCCAAAGGAAATGAAGCAATACCACCCTATGCAAGCCATTGCAAGGGTCAGGAGTAAACGAAACCCCTCAAGGTCCCTAACGCAATGGTCAGACAGAGCCATTGTGCGACGCGCCAGGGGTAAAGTAGTAATTCTCTCGTCATCGCTTTGTACACGAGCGTTTAGCAGGTTGCACAACCACCTCCTGTGGAGACAAGCCCGTTGAAGTCCGAACCAATCGATCCTATGCGAGCGCATAAATCAGATCGTACAGCATATATGCATGCATGCTCTATCACAATGCTCACATCACAAACCCAAACCCAAACGCAGACTTGCATGGTATTTTAGTGGAATGTGGAGGCGGTGGCCCAGGCTCTGAAGGGTTGGATTCCGAGGTGGTATTCTGGCGCTGGGGTTCCCTAGGTCACCTAGTTGGTCTACGTCGATTAGAGTCTACATGGCTGTCAATTCCTTGATTTCTTCCATCAGCTATCTTGCTGTGGCGTGGCGGTGATTGTAGTCGGGGAACTTGGATTGAAGCCTCGGCGGTTACCTGGTGAATGGGAATGCGTGCTTCCCTCACCTCTCTCTAGTACGCTGTAGATCGGTTAAGTTTATTCTCTTTCTGATTCGGATTGGGGTGAACTGGGCTCTTCCAGTGTCGTAAGATTATTATTAGAATGGGAACCGAATGTATGGTTTTGGCAATTGGTAAAGGAGGGAAGTAAAAGGTGTTGTTGGGTCACTGACTGGTCAGGTTTCAGCGCGAGACGCCGGGTTAACTTTACCCTCTCACTCACTGCATACAAGCGAGCTTTAGGTGTTGAAGATCGGAGATGCCGCTTTGAGAGTATCGTGCAGAATTAACTTCTTCTGTGTGTCTGATGTGATATGAATGGATCAAATTGGACCCTGGCTGGACATTTTGACGTGGAGAAGAGACATTGGCGCCGTTTAGGGTCCCATTTGGAGGTGGGACAGTGTGTCTGTCAGTGACAAAGACACATGATCGATCCCTTCTTGCTTGGCTGTTTTCCCCTCTCTTCTTCCCTTCTACCCTTTTCATCCTGGATGAACAGTCCTATCTACTGCTTGTTGGGCGCATTAATTCATGGTTCTCATGTCCTGATGATTGCTGGCGCATTCATTGCCAGAGGGATGCAGGAATAGTAAATGATGAATGTCTTGTTGCCATGGATTTAGGTAGAGACTGTATGGCGTCAGACTGCCAGGCAACGAACAGCCACCAACACCTCAGGGCCCCCCCCCCCCCCCCCCCCTTTCACCCACAAAATAAAGGGTTCTTCATCATTGCCCCTTATGGGCCGATACATCTCTTGGGCTGAGCCAAATGTCAGCCTTCGTGACCCCTGATTGGCGATGAACTCGCGCTTCTGTCAGGGTCTTTCACCCTGTTCCTGCACTAGCGGCACACCCGGCGCCTCTGGATTGGATTGGTGGTTGTAACACCGATTGTGCAGCCATTGACATCTGGCTGGTTGGAGAGTGAATGCTCAATGGGCTGTCTTCCTTGCACTTGCAGTCTATTCTGGTGAACGGCAATCGCCGTCAATGGCTGTGTTAGACACACAGCCTTTTGCCATCCCGGTGTTGGTACTTTTAAGGGTCCATCGCCCTCCCTGGTAACAAAATGCTTTGGCTGCTCTGATTTCCCCCTGAAGCTGTTTCTTGTTGTTGTTATTGTGTTATTGTTTGTTTGCCCAAGTGGCTTGACATTAGACGCTCGTTCATTTACTATCACTCGTTGGACTGTTCTTATATCTTGTCTTTTTCTTTATAAGTCCCCTCTTCCGCAACTGGGTGACTTTGAAACAAGTCGACAATCTGCAACTCATTCGACATTCTTTACACCCCTTCGATTACTACTAAGCCCTATTCAATATGAGGGCCGTAGCTCCTCTTTACCTTCTCTCGGTCGCCCTTTGGCCGCTTGCAGCTCTTGCTCATCCCAAGGGCTTGGTGAGTGTGCTCTTCCTCTTGTACATGACTTCATGCAAGGCTAATATACATAGTGGTGGGGAACCGATGAATGCTATCCCAGTCCTGGAAAGGCCGACAATGATTGTTCCCAGGATCAGCAAGCTGGATTTGACTGGTCTGGGCTGGCTGTCGGCTCCTTCTCAGCCTATGCTGGGTTTGAGTTCTCAGGCTTCTCCTTGAAAGAGAGCTTTGGCGCTTCCTCCACTGTAAGCATTGCACCTCTCTTGAGTTGGTCAGTAACTAACGGCTCTAGGGAAAATGCATCGTTGGAAAACTCTCCAAGGGAAGATCTTCCGGTCTCAGGATGTCTTCCGGTAAAGACCAGAAGGGATTCTCTGTCAGCAGGTTTCGTCTCGCCACATCCAAGGAAGCCGACGTCCACATTGTCTATAACATGCCTGATGGATCATCCTGCAATGATGTTGTCTCATGCTCTCCGAGCGGGACTGATGTCACCAATGATCAGTGTGGTGGTTCTGTCTCAGTGAGCTTCAGGCTTGAGGAGGATATTGAAATCGAGACCTGTGATTTGGGTATTTACGAGGTCGAATTCGATTGCTCGCCGAGCCAGGACACCGATACCTCTAGTACCACTGCGCTGCCATCCTCGACCAAATCAAGTAGCTCCTCGACTCCCCTGATTCTGATGCCACCCTCGTCGCCCGCAGCTGCTACAACTTCTGCCCCGATACCAGTCAGGATGACCACGTCCACTGTTTACGCGACGAAGGAGGTGACAATCACAAGCTGCGCACCTACTGTGACGAATTGTCCCGCAAACTCGGTCACTGTGGTCACATCTACGATTGCTGTCTCAACTACTGTATGCCCGGTTACTGAAACTTCTGGAGCTTCTCCGGCAGAGAGTACGTCGGTGAGTACGTCGGCAGGACACCATACCAGCAATCCGATGGTTACGACGTCGATCAGTGTTCCATCCGGCAGCTCCCCTGTTGAGTCCACTTCATCCCATTCGAGCCCGGTCCCTAGCCCGGCCGTGTCTACTGCTCTTGTTACATCAGGGCATGGCTCTTCAGCTCCTGCTGTTGACAAGACCACCGTCGTTACATATGTGACAGTGACCACTTGCCCAGTGACATCCACTGGCTCTGCAGGCGGCTCGCTCACCACGTCAGTTGGCACAACCGTCTCTACTGTTACGCTGACCTCGACGTCGACCATCTGCACCAAGTGCATTGCTCCGACTTCTGTAGCCCCTATCTCGTCTGCACCTGTTTCGGCTCCTGAGCGGACTACTACTGTTGTCACTTATAAGACTGTAACCACCTGCCCTGTGACCAATGTTGTTACCTCAAGTGGTGTTCCTATCACCTCGGTTACCAGTACTGTCTCAACCATGACCATGACCTCAGTGGCCACTATCACACCAACCTCTGCTGTCTCCAGCTCTGCTCACGGTCCAACTGGCGTTGCTCCCATCTCCTCCGGACCTGTCTCCGTCCCCGAGAGCACGACAACCGTGGTTACATATGAGACCCTTACTACATGTCCAGTGACCACTGTAGTGACCTCGAGCGGAAAGCCAGTGACTTCCGTCTCTAGTACCATCTCAACAGTGACATTGACCTCGGTGTCCACATACTGCCCCAAGTGTACCGCCGGCCCGACATCTGTTGGCTCTGTCACTACTGCACCTGAGAGCACAACAACTATTGTGACCTGGGAGACCGTGACCACATGTCCTGTGACTTCAGTCGTGACCTCAAGTGGCAAGGCCATCACTTCAGTTACTAGCACTGTCTCCACCATTACCATGACAGCAACTTCTACAATTGCAAACACAGTTGTACTCACGGGCAAGTCCCCAGCCACCAGCACCAGTGCCAGCGGTGTCTCGACGCCCGCCCCATCCGCACCGTGCCCCAATGTGGTGCCCAAGTGCATCAACACCTGGATGAACCTGCTTCCCAAGTGCAGCTCCAACAGCGATACTAGCTGCTACTGCCCATCGGACGATTTCACCAAGAAGGTCATTTCCTGCATACAAGCCTGGGGAGCTTCCCAGGCCGAAGTCCAGGCTGCTCTGTCCTATTTCACCGGTATCTGCGCTGCCTATGTACCGCAAAACCCAGGCATCGTGACGGTCATCCCAACTTCGATCACCCTCGGCGCTAGCGCCACCGGTGCCGCTCCAGTTACTGGTACAGCAGTCCACTCAATCACAGGTGGTGTCGCACCGACCACCAACCCAGCCACTGCTGCACCTGTCGCGTCCACCGTCGTAACCTACTCTACCTGGACCGCGACCGTGCCTAAGGTCGTATTTACCACCGCCTCAGGAAGCGCCCAGACAACCGTGGGCCTTGTGCCAGGCGGTCCAACTGGCGTCTCGGCAAGTTCAAGCCGTATTCCCAACCCCTGGGCTTCCTCGACTCTCGCTACCTTCTCCGGCCGGCCAACAACGTCTCAGTCTCCTAGCAATACAATCGTGCTGTCCAACACGGGGTCTAAGGAGAAGAGCTCTTCAGCATGGTGGTGGACTATCGCCTTTGCTGCTCTTTTGGGCATTTACTAATCGTAATCAAGGAATGATAAAAGGGGAGTGAACAGATTGGAGTTGTAAATTGCGATGATACGTCATCGTCCCGGTGTATTTAAAGGATCTTTGCTTTGCTTGTAAACAACCAGGTTGCTTGCTTCATTATGTTATTTAATTGCTGTGCCCGGTACTTGAACCCATGTATTATCGTAGGTTTGCAGTTAGTAGATGGACTACATCTGATAGCCAGATCAGATGACCACTCTTATCTTCCTAATCACTGCCAGTCATAGATAACTTCGTGCCCACAGGCATATCACACAATACTAATCTTCCCCGAAGAATATAAAGCCATGATATGTTCTAGCGACACAGTCCGCACCAGCCACATTCCAAGTCCCGTGCCCGTCACGATCGGTTCCATCTTCGATTTTATCATACATATATCCATTACTCTACAGAGTCTTCGTAAATCCATCATTCTTGATAGTTATATTGCACAACTACCCAAGTATGTTTGCTCCACGAAAGCATATCATCCCTCGCACCTGGAACTACTCTCCAAGGCACCTCTTGGAACTACCGAACACTCAAAACCCGTAGTGGGAGATAGCACACATACCTCAACTGTCTATAAAGCTGAGGTTATTCCACGTGAGAATGCACGGGACGTTCCTCAAGCTCTTAAAACGTCCACTGTGCTACATCATGTATTATGCATAACCTAACCCAGCACTAACTGTACCATACCCAGGGCTCTGATCAATATATCCCCACCTGGCGCTGTAACTGCACTAGAGAACATGAAGCGTGAGCGACATACCTATCGATTTCATCGTGTCGCCTTCTTCAGCGTGCTTCCGAAAGATGTACGATGAGATCGACAGTAGCACTATCGCCTTGGAATGGCTGGACACCCACTCTTGCAGAGGTAAAATACCAGTCTAGCATGCATATCTACTCACTCATCGTGGCCTTTATGGGAGCAGCGTTGACTAGTTGTGTCTCGTACTGGAAGGATACGGATGTGTTGAACACAGGTATAGAGTTTTCTATCCTGAGAAGATTAACATTTACTAATCCAATACAATATAACCTGTCCCAGACTTTAAGCTCGCAAACATCCTGCTCTCTGGGATTGAAACTGGCTATATAACAGCTAAAGTGGGAGACTTGGGACTTGGTGAATACCCGCAAGACCAACCAATTCTGATCCCTTATTGTAATGACTAATAGATGAAACTCTTAACTAAGTTAGTAGTGCCATCTGGCAGTCTTCTCAACGAACTACCATATGCGATGCACGCTCCGGAAGTCTTTCTAGGGCACGCATGTGCGAAGCCATCCCAGGTCTGGGCAGTTGCCGCGATGCTGCTTTGCTGGATAAACCCAGGAGTACTGGGCGTGTGGGATAGTCCGCATCCTTTATAAATGAGGCTTGGTGCATGACGAAGATAAAGCGACTATTCCCTCACTGGGAGCTCCCACACTCTGACAAATGTGGAGGGTCATTCACTCAAAAGCTGCGGTAGATGCTGCTAGTAGTTTCATAAAGGAAGTGTCAGAGCTGCAGGCAATCTCACCGTTGTGTGAGGAATTACGAAAGATTTGATACGCCTCAGCAGATTAGGGATCTTCTTCGATTGATGCTGGTGACTGATCCGGTTCAGAGGCCGTCTGCCTCGTCTGTGACAGCGTCGGAGGAGTTTAGGGCATTGGAAGAGCTGGTGGGTAGTATGTGAATTGGTTGGGCTGGGAAGGACTTGGCTTTAATCAAATCAATGATCTCATTCTTGATTAGATATAATTCATTGTCGGTATTACTATAGACCCTGCTTGATGTCTTGATATTTACTGTTCGCCCCATCTAATTGATTCTTTGTTATTACTATGTTCTGGTCGACTTCGATGTCATGTCCAGACTTCGTCAATACTTTCTATAATCATCATTCTAAGGAAAGTGACATTTATGTTTCTTTCCCAAATGGCACTTGGTCTTACCACCATCACCACCATCATCATAATCGTCGTCGTCATCACCGCCACGTCTGTGCTCCGTAAAATAGTAAACAAAACATCCGTCACTAAGCGCCGGTTGCCCTCACACGACTAAATCATGTTATGCAGGTTGGAGGCTAACCCAACTACTGTTATGCACTTGGTTCTATAGTAGCTGCGCAGGCAGGTAGGGTTGTGTTGTGAAGTATTTACTCATTAGATTTATGCACTAAACTGCTTCATATTGAGTCCTCCCACTATAATGAGGCCACTATTTATACTGGTGCATAATAGTAAATGAAATAGGTTAACAGAGTGTGTATCTAGGTACCAAATATTATCTGGTGGACAAGTGTGCATTTTTATTGTTTGGATAGCCAGAACTGAGTCTGTGAACTAAGTAATTGCTTACAAATAATTGCTGCCAGTGCTGACCAGTTAGATAGTTCACGAAGTAACCACCAAACTCCTCTACCGTTATTCAAAAGTAAGCCCCGGCGGGGCACAATTAAGAGGGGATAAACACGTCCAGCGAGCATGTACAGTTCACTTTATTCCTTCCCTACTGACTATCATACCTACTGACTACTTACTGCCTACCTCATTCGTGTCATATCCAATGAGGCAAGCAGGGCAAATCTATCACCAGTCAACGCCGTTCCAGGACGAAATACTGTCCGAAGCAAAGCAATATAGACGCAGAGCAAAATCACAAGACTCAGAGAGAAGTACACTACTACTGGCTGACTCTAGTAAACAATCCGGGTCAGAGATATAAAGGTGAAAGATCACTGATGAGAAAAGGAAATAAGGAAAAGAAGAAGAAAAAAAGGTATGACAGGAGATTCTTGCTCCGTCCAAACAAATGCCACCATACAAGCAGGCAGCCAATGTCAATCAATCCCAACGCCCGTCAAAGTGGTATTTGTTAAGTACTCCCGCTACCCATCCTGTTTGCACCTACCCCGGTTAGCCAGTGTCATGGCTAGCCTTGAACGCCTGTGGTATTGTTGGTTCCGCAAATAGAGGCTACATGGCTAGCCCGCTTTGGTTTTCTTCGTTGAACGCTCGTTGCTTATTACGTCGCCGTTGTCCTTCCTTAACGGATACAGATGCATGCCCATTTCGGTGGGAAAGTCGGGATGCAGCATGTTGAACCGATTAGGGTCCTGCGGCACCCCGTCCACGTCCGAGGGGATTGTTTCAACCAAGAGCTGGACGAGTGTGCGATCCACGAATCCCGTAGGCTTGTTATGCAACCGGTCGATGCGCGCCCAGTCGTCATCGACTTCCTCGTTCATCAGAGGAGGCAAGGGAGGCGCGCCGCTGTTGCTTGAACGCGCGTGGTAGTTGGCCAAGATATTGTACGGGAGGCTAGGACGTACAGCGGGCTTATCTGACAGCTCCGCCAGCGCGTTCAAAGCGTGATTTCCATGCCCCCGCGTGGACCGCGTGGCGTGGAAGTTCTGACTGGCTGTGCGAGCCATATCGGCCGCAGGAGTGCCATTGTCCTCGGCACCCGTCCCGTCCACCCCCGAACCATCGTCGGCATCGGTGTTGTTACCGTTTGTAGCCGCTCCAGACGGCTGGTCCGCACGCTTGGACGTCGAGAAGAAGTGGACTGTCGCAATGTGCGCAGCATTGGCATGAGCACCAAGCTCCCTCTCCGTAAAGAGAGAATTGATGGAGTAGGACGGCGCCTGCTGCTGCTGGGCCGCCTGGGCCTTGGCGCGCTCGGCGGGGTTGGTCTCGCGCACAGGCGAGCCCACATCCTCATCAGCCGCCTTTCTCTTGCGCTTATTAAAATGCTCTGACATGATCCCATTGCCGAGCTCGTCCAAATCAACGCGGTGGCGGGTGTGACGAGTCTTTCGGTTTCCGTGTATCCCGCCCGGACTGGCAGGATTGGTAATGCTGAACTGATTGGGGTGCAGGAGAAGGGCGTTGGTATCTGCCAGGTCCAACTGCTCTTTTTCTCGCATCAAGCGAGCCCTCTTGCCCGAAATCGTTTGAACAAGACGCTCCCGAAGGGTAAGCGACAAGTTATTGTATTCTTCCTCCGCGAAATGGACCCGAAACGCATACTCCTGCTTGAATCGTTCGAGATTATTATTGTGACGATGCTGGAGAAGAGAATAAACATTAGCCCGCGAGCTCGACAGAAAAACAAAAGCAGTGCTAAGATGAACCCACCACCAACATAGCCAAATCCGCATCCTTCTCCGCCTTGACCTGATTGACCTCCTGCACGAACCGCGAGTACCACATGCCGGCCAAACTCGCCATCTCCTTGGCGAACTTGCCCCCACCGACGGTATTCTCGATAAGGCGGGCAATATCCTCCGCCGAATCGGGGAGAGGGCCGGGTTCGTAAGGATCAGCATTGTTAATGAGGGTCATGTCGCATTGAAGAGCATGCAATTGTTGGCGGAACTGGGTATCTCTGTTTTGGCTGAACGAGGCCGTGAGGTCATGGAGGCGCTCCTGGAGCGCGCTGCGTCGTTTGTCCCGTTTCGACAGCGGCACGCTGGTCGGAGGACTAGTGGAGCGCCCTCGAGATTGTAAGTTATTTGCCATCATGGGCGCCCCGTTCCCGTGGACCGGGGATGTTGGGCCAGGAGAGTAGGCCATGAGCAAGAATGGTGGAGGTGCTAGAGCGAGAAAGAGAGAGAGGAGTGGAGGGCAAACACTGCGAAGAGTTGAGAAGGGCGATGAGAAGAAGGCTCAGTGGGAGAAGCAAAGCTGAGCTTGGCAGGAAACTGCTGCCGGAACAAGGCAGGGCGAGACCGAACGGCTCGAAAGGCAGTCTGCATAAGCACGGAGATGACAAGCGACCAGGCAAATTCGAGGCGAAGAAAGAGGAGGCAGAAGAACTGGACTGGAGAGTGACGGAGGAGAGCAGATGGCGGGAAGCCGGCCGTTGGCCCGAAGCGGATTAGCCTCGGGGACATTTTTGACCGCCCGGCCTGTCGGTGTTTTCCCGGCCTGCAGTGAAGCCATACAGAATTAGAACTACATAGACTTGAGTTTTTGTATGCTTGATAACACATAAATTAACGCAAGATGACAATTGCAGTGCGCACTCCACTATCTATGGGAGACTTGCATAGAAATTACCACTGTGGTATTACGGTGTACAACTCGCTACACTGACATCATCTATCGCTGCCTTTGGGTTGCCTTCTGTAGGGCGGATCATGTATTTCCATCATCTAGTTAAAAAGAGTAAAAAAGTAGTAGTAATCACATGCTAGTGGTCATCACGCTGCCATGAAATAGATATCCTGGGTATTTTCATCCGATAATAGCAAATGCACACAGTCAATGCTCCCTAGACATTCCCAAACGTGCAATCGAGAACCCAAAGCCCAACTCCGCAGACGCCGCCGGACCCGCCAGTTCCCCATTTTGAATCACACGGCTATATATCCTTCAAGAAAATATTAAAAGCAAAGAAAAGAGAAGAGGAAAGATGAAGCATAATCAAGAAGATGGAGCATCCATATACGGAGGCGGAGAGGGATTCCCGCCCGCAACTGGCTCCACAGCTGCAGAACCCGTGCTTAGTGAGTCCGGCGGATCACGAAAACTCCCAACTCAACACCATCCCGAGGCTCCGAATCCTCGCCATATGGCCGTCTTCGGATACCATCCAGGATTTCCCCTAAGAGCATGGCCGAAGTCACCTCTTTATCCTCCAGAATGTAATTTGTCGACATATTCGACACTGCCTTGGTCGCAGGTAGCCGGCGGCCGTTCTGCCAGTATACGCTGAGAACCTCCTTCATACGAGACTTCTCCTGGTGAATGTACCACTCGGTCCACAGATCACGGTCCAGATGGGCACTGCCCTTGCGGGCATCGACAATACTGAATTGAGACGATGGGGAGCTCAGATCGCAACAGAGCTGGGAGAGGTTTTGCCGCATCGTGTCAAAGTCTTCCATGTGTGAGACGGACGACAGCTTCCCCAGATAGCGACCGATGTCGGTGGACAACTCATTCACAACCACAAGCTGACGGAGTAAGGGATCTAGGATGGGTCCGAGATATTGCGACTTGAAGGTGGATGCACCCCTTCTCGTGGGGTAGACGAACAGTAATGACCCGCCGTCAGGTGATAGCTCACTCAGTCGGTCGACCAAGAATGACGGACGATACCGGGAGAACATGTCTTTGTATTCCTGTGGGGACGACGGAGGGAGATACCGCTCCAAGACCGAAACGTGGACGGTGTGTGGCGGCACTATCGGCATCGGAGAGTACGTCGTCTTGGGCTGGATCGGACCCCGGAAATCGTGATAGGCGGAAACCACGGCTGCACTGGAGAAGACAGCCGGTGGATTGAAATAATCCTCGCCGGAGAAGAGCGAGCGAGGCGTTGGTGGAGGAGATGAGGGTAAGTTGGAAAGGCTGAACTGCTCAGGAACAGCATGGGTGATGTTGATGTATGGAGACTGTCCATGACGAAGGCGATCTTGTATCGCGTGAACCAGGGCGCAGTATACGCTATCGTGTGCGGAGACCGGGGCGGACTTGTCAGCCGGTCGTGGGTAAGGCAGCATTTGCGAGACGATCTTCACGGCTTCCCCGCGACCGTTGGAAAAGGGAAGAGATGATACTATCACATGAAGGGTTAGCTTCCAGAAGCTCTTACAAGAGATTTCCATACGGAAATGACACGTGATCGGAGGGAACTCACTCGAGGCTTCAATACTATTCTCCAGCCATGAATTGTGATCACAATCCATGTCGCCAGAAGACCCGGGGCTACCACCAGAGCTTGACGGCGATCCATTTGAGAGTTGATCGGACGGGCTGCTGAGGCCGTCCGACGTTCGGCCGGGCGAATTACCGATGCTGGGACCTTCATCCATGGCTATTGGCCCGGCCTCCCGGTTCATATGCGACTCGAACAGCAACATTCCGGATGAAGGATTCCACGCTATGTGGTCGTTGTCATCCGGGGGAGTCGGGGGAAGGGCGGAGAGATAATCACTTTTGGCGGGGGATGTCTCCCACACCCCGGCTGTTGACTGGGACGCACGAGCCGCCAGCGAGCCCGATGCGGTGGAGGAGGTGGAGACGCGAAGACGAGTGTCGGAAGGATTGGACTGGGATTCCGCCCGAGTCGGGGATTTGGAGAAAAGGCCGAAGTCTTCCAAGGATGGCAGGTGCAGAGAAGCGTTGCTGCGAGAGAGAAATCGAGAGACGGGAGAAGGCTTTGTTAGGAGGGATCCTTGAGAGGCACGTCGCTTTAATCGACTAGAGCCGATGTTGTGATGGTTGTGGTGGAAGGCAGAGGATGGTGATAATGATAGTTGCGGGTGTGACTTGAGAGGCGAGACGGGGCTTAATTGGAGCGGATCCTGTGAATCAGCTGGCGAGCTGGCTCTCATTGGCGTGCTGGGTTCCCCCGACGCTTCTGAGGAAGAGGTGGATGAGAAGGAAGACGCTGAGAATGGCGAACGCATGACCGGGCTGTCTCGCACCACAGATGTAGGTCGATATGGTCCATGGCACTGTGGGGGATTCATCCAGTCTATTGCTGGGCTACTGGCGAGCCGGGGAAGGGAGGCGACGTCGAAAAGAGGCGGATCCAGCCAACTCAATATCCACGAGTACGCTAACTTTAGAGTGCAGCCGAAGGACTTTCAGGTCTCAGACACAACCCGAGGGAACGATGTTGGTACCGGGGAGAAGGAGAATTGATGTTGAGTAATGGTGGTGGAAGGTTGGGTAGCTTGGTAAAAATCACGAACAAACAGCACCATGAAAAGCTGGATGGCGTGGCAGAGTTCGTGACAGGGAGAGGGGGAAACGAATAGTAGTTGTTGGGTTAGAAGGGAAAGCAAAACAGACGGTCGGGAATGAGAGAGAGAGACCGGGGAGACACTAAAAGAGGAGTGGAGGAGGAAGAGGAGGGAGGGAAGTAGTAAGAGGGCGAGAGATGACAGGAAGGTGGGAAGAAGGGAAGAAGTGGAAGGTTAAAGATGAGAAGATGGAGAGACAGAGAGAGGTAAATGGTAAACGATGATGATGATACAGTGGAGAAGAGAGCGAGATTGAAGGGGGAGGGGAAAGAAAAGACCAGAGAGTGTAAGAGAGTCAGCGAGAGAGTCAAAAGAAAGAGCCATCCGGGCCCTGTCGAGAAAGTTTAGGCGGGAAAATAGCGGTTCAGTTTCAAGCAGAACAGAACAGAACAGACAGAAAAAGGATCATGACGCCTGGGAAATTGACCCAAGGGCCAGACGCAGAGACTGACAGCCAAGACCCTCGGGCTGCGACTTTCCACCGGCGTTCTAGACCTGCCGGCCTTGGCCTGATTGGGGAATTCATGACACGAGGACGCCCGGTCGGGCCAGTCAGCGGGTGAGCAATGCAGGTGTATAAAACGGGACACTTTTAATCTATCATCTGCTCCCGCCGGCATTCCACCTGCATTGTTTTATTTACCCTTATTAGCGATTTCCTTTCTTGTAGCTGCTAATTTGTTATCCTAAAAAATATTCTTCTTGCTATTCATCCCATTTAATAACCATCCACGTTATTCCCACTCGAAGCAGGAAGGTTTCCTGCTCAAGTCTCAAGGTCGCGGACTGAGCCGACCAACCGACTCATCCAGAGGCCCAGACGCCTCCGACTCGTCTAGGCCTCCATAGTGGCTGATCGGAGCTAAACCGGGACAGGCCCAGCGATACCGTAACGGGCATTACACGGGCCTTCCAGCAGAGTCCACCAGTGTCCAGTGCCCACCTTTTTAGTTTTGCCCCCCATCTCTCCCCAAAAAAGTAGTAGCAGCGCCCCACCGCCCGTCTGGCCTTTCCCGGTCGGAGGGGAGTCTTGAGTCTGTAGCAGCAGCAGCAGTACCAACAACCACCAGCCAAAGTGTGTAATGAAGACAAGGCAAGCGATGTAATGGACTGGACCCTGGGAAGAAAAGCATGGATGACCAGCTTGATCCATGACGACTTGTCTGTCTGGGTGGATCCGGCCGTCGTGCCAGGCGTCAGGCAGGTACTACAAACTGCCCACATTGTGTACGAGAAAAGAAAAGGAAAGAAAATAAAATATAATAAAAGGCAGCAAATTATTTCAACCAGGGCAAACTGATCAGGAGGTTTGCTTTTTTATTCTTCCCTCGCACTATACTCGGTAACAATGGCCGTTACCAGTAACCAACAACTTGTCTTCTGCCCTAGATCTCGTATTACCTGGGATCAGCATCACTTTATCGATCTCGCTCTTTACCGTCTGATCCGATGCTTATTTACAACCAATTTCCTTTTTACATTTGACCTACCATACATTGTAGTGGTGATTCTTCAAAAAGTTGAAGCTTTCGGGAATCCCGAAGCGAAGCCGGGTGCACACTGCACAGAAGGTAACAAACAACATCAGAAAAACCCCAGATAATCCGGAACATAGTCCCTGATTAAGACCACAATGGTGAGAAAACTAATAAACCAGCGTTCAATCAGGTGGGTAGCGTATAACTAGTCTAGTGATGGTGCTAGCATCTTCGATCCCGGCCACGCTTCAGCCTTTAGTAGTAGTTCTTCATTATCGTCTATATTATTGCCCACTCCCCATAATGTGTACCTGACCTATACCAATTAGTACGCAGTACCTTACCTACTCATGGATCCTGCATTGCTGAATCTAGAAATCTCCCACGCACAATAAATAGTTACGGTGTAGAAGCATGACTCAGAGTAGACGCGGACCGTAAAAGGGCGAGATGGTGAGGGAGCCTATGAGTTGAGCCAGCCAGGAAGGCGATGAATCAACTGTTATGGAAAACCCAGATAGAAAAATAATAAGAAAATAAGAGATAAAACTAATTAGAATAAAATCCAACCAAGGCCAAGCAAAAGGGAAAATGGTTCTGGAACTCTAAGCCAAATCCCTCTGCCTCTCTCAGTGTGTCCCAAAGTCAACCGGCAATTCAAAACTGCTCATCCCTCAAATTTCAGTGACTCTTGACGTCGACAGTCTCGCCCTCACCCTGGTTCGGCGTGGCGCAGAGGCCACCCTCATTGGCCTCCCCGGGCAGCAGAAGGCTTGCTTGCATGGCGCGATCGAAACCCACTGCCGCTTCCGGGCGGATTGGCGCCTAGACCCTTGTTCCGTGCTGCCGAAAAGATCCGCCTTATGTGGTCCGAAATGAATCAAAAGGGAAAATAGAATAATAAAAAAAACTCAGGTCAATTATTGTTGTGTGTGTGCGCAACTGGGCCATTATGGGCCTAGAGATGAACATTGGCGGGATAAGGTTCAATTCTTCTGGGATCAGGCAGGGTTGATGGATGGGGGGAGGAGGGGGCCACTGGGAGGCCCTGGTCTGTCTTGTCTCCCTCTCCAGTCTCTAGACTAGACTAACTACCTAAGGGAAACTAAACTGACTTTCCTCTCTAGCTGAAGGTTTACTTAACTTAGGCCGTAGCTTGGGCTTGACTAGGTTACTGTAGGTCGGGTCAGGCAAAAGAGAAAATTGGTTTAGGGATCTGTAGGTGCGGGAGCAAGTTAGTCTGAGAGTTAAGTTGATTAGTTCGCTAGGACTATACCTCTCAGGTTTATCGTAGATCTGGCATGGCTCCCGTGGCTGCACAGAGCTGAGGCTGAAGAGGGATTGTTTGTACTTTTGGCGCTGCTGAACATACTGAAAACAATCTCCATGTGTTTACCTAATCGGGTAACTCCGTCCATAGGTATACTGCTTTTAGTTATCTCTATCTCCTTTTTTTCTTTTCTATTTTCCCGTCCAAAAATAAAAATGTCTCCTTATCTCAGCCTCACGGCGTCTGACCTCAGATGTCGTCCGCAGTCGCACACAGGAGGTACATACATACAACGGGCAGAGCGATGGAAAAAGAAATGTGTCTAAACCACGCCTTGCTCCTGCTACTACTTTTCCCCTCCCTCCTGTTCTCACTCCCCCCACTTTCAAGCCCAGTCCAGTCCAATCCAGTCCATTGGAACGATCCCGTCTGTACGCATCCATAGCCGACGAGAATTGCATGTCGTAAGTGGCTGAAATCATCCTCACCTCCTTTTGGCCTCGCACGCAGCCCAACACTATCACCGATTAAGCCCTGTTTATTAGATCAGTTCTCCTCCAGCCTTTTCTGCGAATTTCCATCGTTGTCGGAAGCGATATAACATCTTAATTAGCGACTGGGATACAATTCCACGGTACGTGAAATTAGACCCTTGAAGCGATCCTGCCTGACAGGTGTCACTGTCACTGTCACTATCACTGCTGTCACCCAGTTCTGGACCCTAGCTATCTATCCACACATTTTCAGCATAAGGAGCATGCGTATGCTATCACCATCCATATCAGGGATATAGCATATCCAACCAAACCAAAAATCTTACAGAAAGAGAACGATCTTCATCACTCACATCACTATGAACAAGGCATCTGCATACACATCCATCCATCCACAATAGCCATCTCCTTTTGAAAGTGAAGCGACGACTCAAACTTGATTCTCTGATCTACCAACAAAACCTAGACTACTACTAGATCCCTCGATATCCTGTTTCCCGAGACTGACCGGATGTGATGCGATGTATGGATCTACATGCCGTCTATCTAATTACTACCCCTTCCTGATCAAGTATACACGGCTCACTCTCACACACCCACGATCCAGAACATCCTCTGTACTACAACAACTAAAACGTAGGTGGTATACGGTTGTGCCAGCAAATGTATCTCGTGATGTGATCGCAAGCACGGAAAATGCAAAAATGAATTGTGGATAATGGTGATCCCCACCGGGTTGTATCCCATCCGACTCGGACCCAGTCTAGACCCCGTTGGTTACCTACACAACCTGATGTTTCTACCAGATACTCTCGTGTGGTGGCGTGGCCTGTCTCCATCCATCAAGGAATGAATTCATGCCTGATGATTGATGCTCCACTCTACACTTAACCAAGTACCCAGTATACAAGAGAAAACAATACATAGTAAATTAAACAGACAATCAAATGATCATTATTCCCACGGAGAAAGAGAAGAAATAAAGACAGAGGGAGAAAGGAAAAGAATCTCTCAAACACACCCATCCACGGAATCTCAATACCCCATCCCGTATAACCCAATCCTAATTCCCAAAACCTCTCTCCCTCCAATAATCAAATCCAGCCATACACAACTATCCCGTCTCCAACCTTACTTTCTCTCTCTCCCATTACCACTAGTCTAACAGTCCTCTATATTAATGACTCTCCCAAATCAACCCGTCATAACTAGATACTACCATCCATCTTCAACCCACGGTTCCAGACAACTCCCTTTCCTCCCCGTTACTCTCCACATAGTCTAGATTAATTGATCTTCCATCATGAGACCAGCCAGACTCATCCTTTCCAATCTACTCGACCAGAGGATCGAATGATTAAAGACTAGATTCATCATCAGCATCATCCTTCAATCTCCTCTACCAGAGGATAGACTGACTGAAGTAAAGTAATAGGATAGACATAGTATAGACAGTTAGAGAGATAGATAGATGGGCAGAGACCCTACTTTCTATCCCGTGCCACATAACCCATAATCCACCAAGTCCAATGTCCATGTCGAATCTAGATGCGATAAGATAATTGCCATACCCATCCTTATATCCCCCCCCCACACACACCTAAACCCTCACCAGATACCTATTTCGTCAAACTACCGAGTGGAATCTAGCCTATCCCATTCCATGTCTCAGTTGGATAGACACTACCAGATACCTTAAAGAGTCAAGATAGAAAGAATACGAATTTGCCGCCACCCCTCTTCTTCTCCTCCTCCTCATCCTTCTCCTCCACTTCTCTCCTCCCTCGCCATCGCCATCGCGGAGTAAACCAACCAACTAACCAATTAATCTAATCTACCAACCAACCAAATGCACCTAACAAGTAGTCCAGATATTTAGCGGTAGTAGAATGTGGGGAAAACACGGCACATTCGTTACGTACGTAAGTTAGTTCACCACCACCACTACCCTACCACCACTACCACAATTGAATCCACTTCTTCATGTCTCAGATATACAAAGGTCTGGAAAAAAAAAAAAAAAAAAAAAAAAAAAAAAATCAGGTTTGGATTATTTTTATTTTGAGTTTATTTTTTTCTTTTCCATTCGTTATCTGACTTTCATCATTATCATGCTTTGTTTTTTGTTTTTTTCTGTTTTTTGTGTTGTTGATGCAGTGGGGAATATACTAGTACATAATAGAGGGGCAAGGAGAGACATTTAAATAACTGATTAGTTTGTTTGTTTTCATGGCTTGCTGAATGGAACTGAAAAGACAACATGCATGCATGCATGAAGTTCCTTCCCCACTTTGACTTACCTCCCTTGCCTTCTTGTCTTGTCAGCTAGCCAGATGGACAATCTTACAACTAGCCAGCCAGCCAGGTAGCTGTGTAAGGTACATAGTACGTAGTAGGGAGGTAGATAGTCGGTTACAGAACGTCGTCATTGTGTGTTTGATCGACTTGGATTGCGTGTTTTGTTTTTTTTTTGTGTTTTGTGTTTTGTGTTTGTGTCAGTGTCAGATGGCTTACGTTGGATAGATAGTAACTGATGTGTGGGCGGGTCTTGTGTCTGATTCTGTTACAGTTCTACATTGCATGACCATCATAGGTTTAATGTGCTGTTTGTGCATGTATTACTCTTCTCGTCCATCAAAAGTATATACAGTTGAATAGAACTACCTCATCCTTGCGGATTCCACCTCGTGAGGCTATTTTGCCTCCACACTCTAACCGTGGCTGTCTTCACAATAACCTCAGCCCTCGAACCACGTCTTTTGCCCCCTTGCTTCGAATGGCTTACAGGATTGCACGATTCTGGACAAATTCTGCTCAAGCCACACACGCATGCACAACGGTAGGCATTTCCGCGGAAGCAGTCCTCGACGTTACATCCAAAGGGGGGTGTCCGTGAGTTTCTGCAAGAGGAAGTACTGGGACGTCGAAACTTCGGTGGCACGTCTAGGCTTAGTGTGCACCTGCTTGCTTCGAGACAGCAGATAATTTCACTGAGAGGTGGTTGCAATGAGCCTGCAACTCACTTCGGGGGGCCGATGCCTGATTTCGGCGGCAGATCGGGCATCCCGATGCAGGATGATTCCAGACCTTCGGCGACTAGACCCACGGACAGGTAGTCTGTTTAGATTGTTCTTCCAGCTTGGTCGCTTGACACAAGCACCCCTGCGATCACTCAAGATGTCACCGATCTTCTGCGAGGCTCACCATGGCGGCGAGCATGAAATCTCTGCGGCCGCTCACTGCGGCAGGGATGCATGCCGCGATTGGCGCCGGCCTTGGCAAAGAGCTTCTGGTCTTCTTCGTCGATGACAGGGAGCTGCGTGCAGCTGGACTGCTTCACCGTAACGGACGGCCGTGACGAGTCATTCCGAGAGCGCTGAGTCGGTCGGTACGACTCCTCGGGCTGCAGGTCGTGTCGGTCCAGAGCAGCCTGCAGCTCCAAGCACTGCAGCACCAGCTGCTTCACACCATCGGTCAAGGCGCAGGCGCGATATTCGATGTCCGGCCAGAAGCCCTCGCCCCAGAACGTATCCTCACGGACGGCATTCTCCAGCGATTCGTACCAAAAGTCGAAGTTAGGCAGCCGTCTCTTGGCGCTCGGGAGGTCCAGACCCTGCAAGTGGTCTGACAGGAGACACGCCACGGCGACAAATCGAATGGTCGGCTCCGAATTCATAACGTGCAGAACGATACAGGCGGGGCAGCGCTCGGTCAAATACCAATCATGCTCTTCGCTCAGAATGGAATGCAGCCAAGCATAAGCACCACGCGCCTCACCACGGAACGCCCGTTCGCATTCCGCGCCTTTGTGGCGTGGCAGCACATTGGTTGCGATACGCGAGGCTTGATGGTGGAGCAGGAACAGAGGGAGGAGGATGGTGTGGATGATATCGCGATGAAGGCGGAAGGTTTCCTGTTCTTGACTGGGGGTATCATGGCGATGCTCGGCACAAAAACTATAGCCGATATATTAGCTACGATATTCGACCGCAGATTTATTTTTTCTTGATGGTTGTGAAGACACGTACCTAGGAGCCTTCATGCCCAGTTCCTGGCGCCTCAGATGCTCCCTCACAAGCCTAAAAGCCTCATTGCGATCCAAATTGGCGCGATCCCGGAGAGAGATGCGAAATGGGGAATATGTGCTGGTGGTGGACATGTTGCGGTCAACCGCTTAATTGCGCAACGGATAGACCGTAACGATGAAAGAGGTGGGAATATATTATGGAGACGGTAATATATAGCGATGGGGACAAAAATAGCAATCCGACGACTAATATGCGAATAAGGATGACGTTGCACTGGGGAGGCACAACAGGGTTGAATTTGGGCGAAACACGAAACGACTAGTCCGAGCCAATCAAACGAGGCACAAGTGGGCGGAGAAGCTTTCCAGTGATGGCGAATTTGAAAGACGGGAGAACCACGGATAGCATGATCCAGACCAGAATAGACGAGGATGGAGTGTGTGTTGGTGAGGAATTAGGTGTGGTAAGAGGGTGGATAGTAGGTAGATAAGGTGAAGAAGAAAAAGAAGGGGGGGGAGGGGAGGAGGGACAATGGGAATTGTAGATATATCTACTTTAGTATGAGTTTAAACCCCCCCCAGCACGTCAGAAACGGGCACGAAAAAGAAAAAAGAGGGGAGGGGGTGGAAAAGGGAAAAGCAGGAAATGAAAAAGGAAAAGGAGGAAATGAAATGAAAGCGTTGGCGGAGATTCCTTGGAAAGGGAAATGGCACGCATGCGGGAAAAGAAAGCCCCAGTCAGACGAGGCCCCGTCATCCACGCAAGCCGGTGACGATCCGTCTTTCACTAGTCGATTGCTTGTAACTCTGCTTGCATCTCCTTTTTTTTCCAACCCCCAAGAAGGATGGGGGGATATAATAACTGTACTACAACGAAGAGGCTGTCTACGCTGCCTACTTTGATTTCTGTTGCTTTTTCAGAATTTTTCTTATTTAATTCATATTTATTTTTTCGAATATCTCAACAGCATCCTACGTCAAGCGGCCGAAGAGTAACGGTAACTAGCAGAGAACAGACCCCATCTCCAGATGATCCTAATTATTTAGGCGGTGGGCCCAGCCAGGGTCTCGATCGTTGCCAAGACCTATCGCTCCTCGTGCTTTGGGCGAGACCGGAGAGCCCAAAGCAGAACTCTTCCAGCAATAAGGGGGCGGGCAATCCCGGGCGATGGCTTGCAACTGGTCAGGTTCCTCCTGACATCGCTGGATCGTGTCCACCCAGTGCCATGTTCCCAGCATATCTTGACAAAAAAAATCATAGCATACATATTAATAGTAGCTTCTTACCCAACTTCACGTTGACGCCCCCCGAGATTTATTAGCCACTATCGTTTGAGAGATGAATCGTCTGTTCGGCCCAGGCGATCAAACCGGATGATTTAATTGCGACACACAATTTTTATCACACCATAAGTAAGTAGTAGTATCCACTCGGGCCCTCCCTGCCCTACAGGTTTCAGGCGAGAAACACAAGCAATTTCAATTTCAGTTTCCAGTCTTATTTTAATTTTAATTTCCCGTAGCATAAATAGTATCAGTCTATCTACTAAGTTACTGTGTAGCAATAATCTAGATTTATTACCTCATTTCCCTCTGTCTCGCTTCCTCCTTTTCCTTCAAAGGAACGATTCATGACTAATCGGGAAACGTTTTGTTGTGCGAAACCCCTATAATCACGTGAGGGACTGGGGATTGCCAATTTGGGTCAGGAACCAGGCCACTCATGAACATTTGCTTGGAATCTTGTAGATCGGAATTGTTAATGTACCCATACTCAGATACTTTGTAGTAACCAACGTTCAAAGTTCCATTCAGATAAAATGCTTAACCCAAACATTATTGAATGTGGTGTCCCAGATATCTCCGACGCGGTACTCACATAGTTCGCGACAACCTTGTTGCAATGCCTGCATAAACAATCCAATCCATGTTGTCGATCCCATGCACCCTGGCATCCATTAAGCTGTCCCCCCTTCGATAGTGCTGCATTCCATCTTCCCCGGAGATTGGAACTGCCTCTTTCTCTCATCCACTCCAGAGCCACAATGAGTTTAACGCAGCTGCAGGATTCTTTTTGACGTCACGCTCCTTGCAACAACACTCCCGAGTATGTCTCCTCCAGGGCAGACACGGTACCTCTGGTATGGCAGGGCGCCAGGACAATGGGGAGGTAGATACCCGGGGGGATGAATGACTTCAACAGTTATTCGTGCATCTGTTATATTAGAACAGGTGTTTTCTCGTCCATGCAAGTGTCTGCATTCTCATTCCCTGGGTCGTCTTATCTACGTTACCTGCTTTACAACTTACAACATTCACTGTCCAGACAGCTGCAGGCAGTTTTGCTGGCGTGTTCCACTCACTTCTGCATTCTGTCTTACTCGATTGATACCGACGCATTGGACTGGTCTATTCGCTCTGTTTTATCACTCTTTGGATAAGGATAGCGGTCAGAATCCCCGGAAGGAGACTGCAGAGAACCCACCGGATCTATTATCGCAGATTACTTTACAGAGAGCCAAGCCGCGTGCAGGGACTGCGAGAAGACAATGGTCAAAACACACTGGTCATCATCTGCCACTGCTCTATCGTTGCTGCTCAACACGTTCTATGCCCCCACCGCCAGTGCCATACAAACCATCTCGGCGGTTGGTTCAAAATTCTTCTACGAAGATGGCACCCAATACTACATCAAAGGTGCGTGTGTCTCCATTCGACCCACGATAGTTCCTCACGCACTGACCCGCACGCCATGGTCTAGGCATCGCCTATCAACTCATTCCCGAAGATCCCCTGATTGACACCGCTCAATGCACGCGAGATGCCGCCCGCATGGCCGAGTTGGGCACCAATGCAATCCGTGTGTACCATGTGGACCCTAAAGCCAACCACGACGGATGCATGAAAGCTTTCGCAGATGCAGGCATTTACCTGTTCGTCGATCTCGACACGTTCGACACCGCGATCTCCCAGGTATGCACTTACCACCACCACCATCTATACCCTATTCATGACCTATCACCCGACCCATCATCGTATCAGGCCGCCAACAAAACCCCTATCCTTACTAACCACTTCATCCCCATTTCACAGGACGACCCCCACTGGGACCAATCCCAATTCGACAGCTTCAAAGCCGTGCTGGACGCCTTTCAGAAATACGACAACACCGCCGGAGTCTTCGTCGGTAACGAAGTCCTCACCACTAAGGACGGCTCCGCCGCCGCCCCCTACGTGCTAGCCGCAGCCCGCGACATCAAATCCTATCGCAATGCGCAGCACTACCGTTCCATCCCAGTCGGCTATTCGGCCGCAGACATCGCCGAACTGCGCCCCATGCTGCAGAACTACCTAGCCTGCCGCTCTGACCCCGCCGAACGACTCGACTTCTTCTCCCTCAACGCCTACGAATGGTGCGGTGACTCCTCATACGAGCAGTCCGGCTACCAAACCCTCCAAGACGAAGCAGAAGGCTACCCCATCCCCATCTTCTTCTCCGAAACAGGATGCAACGTAGCTCGTCCCCGCACCTTCTCCGACCAGGCCGCCATCTTCGGTGACCACATGTCGGGCACCTGGTCTGGCGCTATGATCTACGAATGGATCGAGGAAACAAACGACTACGGCCTGATCGAGTATGGCCCTGCCGGCGCCGACACTCCCCCAACCGCTACCAAGGATATCATCGTCCAGGACGGCTTCACTCGCCAGGGTGAACCCACCCCGATCCAACCTGACTTTGATAACCTCAAGAACCAGTGGGCTACGCTCGACCCTACCGGCGTCGCTCTATCCGACTATGTCAAATCCACCGCGGCTATCTCCCCTCCGGAATGCCCTGCCTCGACAGATGGTGGATGGGCCGTGGATCCATCCGCCCCGCTCCCAACTATAGGTCAGGCCTTCGTCCATGCTGATGATGATAATGATAACAACTCTGACGGTGACGATGCTACCTCGCCCGCTTCCGCCACCGCAACTACCACAGGTACTGCATCCGAGTCAGGAGCAGATTCTTCGAAATCGCTATCAAACAAGCAGTCTTCTCCCTCTTCAGGTACAAACCCAAGCGGAGTAGCCGCTTACAGCCCATCGAGCGGGGCTTCGTCCATACATGCTGGAAATGGTGGCTTTCTGTTCCGGCTTGATGTATCTGCTCTCTTTTGTGTGGCTATTGGGGGCGTGGCGTGGTGGTTGTAGGTGATTGGTTTGGATGCATGTGACATGCACACTAAGTGAGTCGGGTATTTTTATCCACCATTTGGGGTCTCCTTATTTTACGCTCTATCTCTATTTATTATTACTTTATCCGTGTTAGGTTTGGTGTGGGTTTCTCTTTTATGACTGATCTGATGATGATTTTGGACGTGATTTTGGAGGGTATAAGGGTGTTTTGTGGGATAGGGATTGGCGTGGATGGTGGGTTACCTACTACTGGATAGTCATGGCGGAACTATGAAATGAATTAATTGTCTATGTGGTGTCCTCCTACCTTTGACGCGTATTTATATTCATTACGGAGATATACTAGAAGAGATGTATGCATACAAATAGAATTTGATTAAATGACTAAGCTAAATACAAGTGAAACGGAAAGGTAAATAAGTGAAATAGATAAGGATATCACCCAAAGCAATCACAAGCGGTCATTCGTCATCAATCGTTAGGAGAACTAGCATATTAGTATATGAGAAAGAAAAAAAAAAAATAAAAAGCCAAGTCTCCTGAGAAAGAAATGAAGTGTAAAGGTATATAGTAGTATCAGAGAGGATGAAGAACCCGAAAAGCCTAGAATGTACAAGGCATGACGTTGTGTACAAGTAGTATGTGCGGGGGGCATAAGAATAGAGAAGTGAAAGGTATAGATAGGAGTGGAAGGGAAAGTGTGGTAGTGTACCAGCAATGTGGCGATGAAGTGACTGGTTGTTGATCGAGAGGGCAGCATGTCAATGATACAAAGAGAAGGAGCCAAGTGTTTAGTGGTTATCGCTTTGGAACGGGTATATATAATAAGGGCTAATGCTTCCCCAGAGCGATGCTGTAATTCCATGTCGGATCGTTATGTGCTGCCGGGCTTAGACCATGATCTGGATCACGCCAAGGGACGGGCGACGAAGAGGTACTGTATTTCTCATACTCTTGATCTGTGTCGCTGCTATATATATGGTTGTCCGTGTATTGCTGATCAGGCAAACTGAAACTCGACGCAGAGGCTGAAGGAGAGGGACGGAGGCTCACGGGTCCTCCAGAGCTAGTAGATGAGAATTCGGCAGTCATTGGACTACTTGGAGACGGGGATCTGGCCCCTAGTGGCTTTGCTCGCGGAACAACGAGTCTGTTAGATGATGAGGCTGCTTCTGCGCCTAGACGGAGTGGATTCTTGCTCCTGGGGGCGTGGACTTGCAGGTCAGAAGTACAGTGGAGGCTACAGCTTCCGTCCAATTTCTGGAGTGAGTGAGCCAGGAGCTGCTCCACCTGGTAAGCAGATGGACGGCTCATGGGTTCTCTGTTTAGCATGCTTCGCACGACGGTGAGCATCGGTCGAACAGCCTGAAAGATGGGATCTTTGTGTTTCTTCGCATCGTTGTCCAGTAGGGCGATCCAGGAGCTCACTTGGCCGGCGTTTCGGTCGAGGTGGAATGAGCAATCTGCGACGCCGCCACCGCGGCCAGCGGTCCGGTTCTTGGCCCCTCGGTGGTGTGAAAAAGCAGAGAGCTTGCGCTTGCATAAATGAGTGAAAATGTCTAGAAATACTGCTCCAAGTGAGAATATGTCCGAGGCTTCTGGATCTGACTGACGTGTTTGCCACGTATGAACGATTGCGGCGTTGGAACCGATGATGGGGTAGCCCAACTGGCCATATGTAGTAGAAGGAGTGGTTGATGACCTAGAAGAATTGGAGTTGGACGAAGTGATGGACGGTGTGTAGAACATCGGTCGTTTTATGGAGGATACCACGCGCTTGCGGGCGCTCCCAACGCTTGATCCAGAGGAAGATGAGTTGGTGAAAGATATCCGAGAAGGTGAGCCTCGTAGGCCGATACGTATGGCAGTTCCCTGCGACGTAACAGACTCCGCGTGTATTTCTGTATCCTGATCCGACGGTTGAGAGCCCCTGAATCTAGATAAGCTCAGCATTGCTGGACGGGACGACTGTTTGCGAGCCGAACGCCCCCCTGATGGAAGCGCAATGTTAGGGCTTGGTGCGCTTGTGTCCTGGATACTGACTGAGCGCACCCATCGCTCGGGCGCACCATACTGGTAGGTTTCGACGTCGTCCGGCTTGAGTGGGGAAAGAAGAGTGTCGAGAGCCTCAAACTGGCCCAGGAAAATCCGAAAGTCTGCGTCAACCAGGATGTTCGACGGAGAAATCAGGCTATGGGCCTGGCTATGTGCATGCAACCATGCCAACCCGTTAGCCAGACAATGTGGCCAATTGACTAATATCTCTCGACGCTTGTTCTTGGCGAGGCGCTTGAAAGGTTGAGGCACGTCGGTAAGGAATGACATGAGGGTTCGCTCGTAAACGCCCGAGAAAAGAATGCAAACGGTGGTATCCACGAAGTAGGAGGCGTAGATTGAGTAGACGTGATCGTGGGCTAGCCTTCTCAGAGAGCGGATTTCTTCCAACACCTCGTTCTCCTCGAAGAAATGCGGTGCGCCGCCAATGGAGACTTGCGTTCGCAACAGCACACGACATTTGGAGCCAGCTAGAACAACCTTCTCCACGCCCTCTCTCACTAGAGACGTTCCGGTACGAAGAAGCTCCACCGGGACGCCCTCGTTCTGAGTATACTTGATATGGTCGCCTTCATTGATACCGCGTACCGTGAACCGCCATTGAGCGAGAAAGAATTTGTGGGCAACAGCTGCGTTGTCCCCTTCAGGTGCGAGAGGAAGTCGAGTGGTACTCGGTGCCGACAAAGGTAAATCCGTGTCATCTAATGATTCATCGACCAGGGCAAAGATGCGCTCCGGTATGCCGATATCCACGAGGATCAGGAAGATTCTACCGGCCTTGGCGAGGATCCAGTCTAAATAAGACTCGCTGGTCAGACCCTCTCCCCAAGGCAAGGGTTTGACGAGACGGTGCAAGATGTTCGAAGGTAGGTGGTTAAAGACGTATTCGGGACAAAGGGTGGCCTTCACGCGATCTTCGGGCCACCAGAGTGAGGTGATGGCCGCCGACATTTCGAACTCATGGCGATCCGGGCCAAGATCAGGCGCTTCCCCGCAGGCGGGACCAGACATCTAATATATCGGCGAAAGGAAGGAATCGAAAGTCACAGGGTACCTACACCTGGCCAGACTCGAGTAGGACAGACATGTCTCTTTACGGGGCTTCAGCAAGCGGCTGTCACAAAGAATGTCCGGGCCACAGACGGATGGTGGGTATAAATGGAAGGAAAGCGTAAGCCCTGAAACCAATATTGCAAATCGATTGAAAGGAAATAGAATACTCCAGATAATCAAGAAAATTGTCATTAGATCAATAAACATCAAACCTTAAGGGGATACCTCAATATCGGGGGGGGGGGGGGATTACAGTGTCGCGCGGAGTGTGGCGGACCTCACTGGTGGACACGAGGCTTATCAAGCGCCCAGCAAGGGATATTCACGGTATTATTGGAAGGATCCATTCGATAGTAGTATATTCCGGGATTGTAGAACGGGGAAAAGAAAATCAGAAACCTAAAAGAAAGGAGGGGGGCAGGGAAGAGGTACTTTTCCTCTGTGGCCATGGTGCCAGTTCCAGTGATAACAATCAATTCCGAACATGGGACCACATGCTCCTAGCGGCCATCCAAGCAAAAGGAACGAGCATACAAAAAAGAAAGTGCACCCGAGGAACCAAGCTCGACCATGGGTACGAATAACCAAGTACCAGCCTAGTAGAGGGTTCCCAGTTGCCCCGAAAGGAGATTGCTTGAGAGGATGAATGAATGGCCGGGGTTTCTCCAAGAGAGTGGCAACGGCCCCGTAGGCCGGCTCCGACAGTGAGGAACCTGGCGAAAGAGATTCTCAAAGCCGTTAAGGAGTGGGGGTTTTCCAAAGTGAAGGGAGAGCGGAATCTAGTATAGTCCTTAGAGTTCGGAAGGAGGGAAGCTAACTCTTTAGTCTATACTTAGCTGGGGCAGGATAATGATAGAGTGATTTACTTGAGAGGAACAGAAACGAGAAGGGGGAATGAATAGGAATACAAGGCATGCGTGGACTCGATCCTCTCCTTCCAATGCAGGAAGTTCAATGCAGAAGAGGAATAAAACCCACGCGATAAACACCGCCGACCAAAGCGTGACTCGAATTCCGGGATCACGGGTCTCGAGTCATTGCCGGACTACTTTTTATTTTTTTGTGGCTCTTTTGGGAATCATCATTGTATACTGTCTACAGTAACTAGTACTATGGCCACCGACACCTATCGAATTGATAAGTAACAAGCCCATTGTGAGCCATCATTCTTCTACTAGAATCTGTCTTGCATCCATCAAGCTGATCGTCAGGCGCATCCTTCTTGGTAAAAAGCAATGTGACGTGGCGTTGATCGAGAAAGAGGCAAGACAACTAAGTACCTATCTATCCCGACTCTTTAGGCGCCTGCAATAACTACTCAAAACACGTACCATACATAGCTACTGCCACAAGGACAACAACAGCCACTGCAGGCAAGAATCAAACTAAAGAGGGTACGATACACGACATCCGGAGACACTATGAGGGGACACGGAAGAAAATTAGAAAATTAATAAATAAATAAATAAAAAAAAAAAAAAAAATAGAAAAAAAAAAGAAATCTCCCCAAAGATAGGGAAAAAGAAGATACGTAGATACTACTATGCGAAAAAGTCCGAGGCAGGGTTCCCAGATCGGGCAGACTATGCGTCATCCCTGGAGGGTTCGGGATGCAAGCCTTATCAGTTGACAGTTGGACAGACCAAAGTTTACTCATGAAAATCCCGCCATTAGTCACGGCTCCCGAGATAAGCCCATTGCTTACTTGCATTGCCATTGTCCAGTTATTCATCCATGGACATGGAAAAAAAGGAGGGTTTGTATATGATCCATCAGATGAATGCTTTTCAATGGTGGTTTTGTTTCTCTGTGCAAATAGTGCAGAACCACACAGCCAACAACACACATACACAGCCTGAACAGGTGACTGGGGCAAAGTGGCCCGCGCTCTTGGTCCATACTTGAACCTTGCTCGACCTTATGATAAGGCTTACAGTAGCCTAATTTGTACTTATGTTCGCAAAATGGAGACTATCATGAGGGTAGAGAGAGAGAGAGAGAGAGAGAGAGAGAAAAAGGTACGTACAGTAGTTCGCCGGTCCGCACATCTCAAGTAGACAAGCCCCAAATTTTCGACCTTCGCCGCACTCCTTCCTGCTTATCTCGGGGGCTCGCGCGGTACTCGCCGGTCCGCCGGGGTAGCTTCGGCTCTACTAAGTTAGTGTCTTCACTTGACATGGCTAGGTTTGTTGCAGGGTGACATGAACTAAGCCATTGATTTTGATATGGCGTGGCGCGGTTATAGTAGTATTTTGCCGCGGAATTTGCGGGCTTATCTTGCGAGCCTTTTTCAGTTGTAGTAAGCAGACTACGGAGTATATCTAACTAACCAGAGCCTCCAGTAAATACTACTCCTGCCTGATGTAGTATCTATAGACCATACTATGACAGGAGAAAGTATCCATGGAGGGCCTCTCTATACCCAGAGACCTCGCTCTCGATAAAGCATAGAAGGCATACCATCCGCCTTCAATACCATGCTCTACTCTAAAGAATGATCGATGTGCAGCCAGATGATCATTCCATGCAGCAGGATCGCCCCTAAGTCCGGGAAAAAAAAGCCATGCTTGTGCGAAGTATTGCATTCATTGTTTTCTTTTTCTTCCTCCTTCCTTGTTCGATTCCCTGCTCAACAGAAAAATCCTTTTCCGGAGCCAACGGGAAGATCAAGATGCGCAGCCAGCTGGATCGACAGCGAAGAAAAGAGAATGTGGATGGTATAAGGGGGGAGAGAGAGACGAAAATAAAACCCACAAGCCCAAGCCTCAGAACTAGTTCAAGCCATTCATGCAGGAGGTCATCATGGACAAAGTTCTCGTCTCTTCCCCCTTTTTCCTTTCCAACCTTCTGTGCTTTTCTTCATTATCTCTTCCTGCCTTCCTCATTTTTCTTCCAAAATGGGTTGCCTTGCAGAGCTGATCGCAATGAGAAAAGAGACACATTCAGACACACAGACGAAGTCGTAAAAATGACGTTAAACACCTAATTCCTGACCGGCGAGAAAAAGGATCGATCAACAAAGAATCACCTGTCAGAAATGGTTATCGTTTCATGTCGGTGCCAATCATGACGTCGAAAGCTCCATAGACTATCTACTTACTTTTGAGCCTAGCGAGGCACTATACTTCCGACGACCCTAACATAACTATGATCCCATGCGCCGTATCCGCCGCAATCGACTATTAGTCCTCTGCGTAGTTGGAGCAACCTGTTTCTGCTGCTGTTGTTGCTGTTGTTGTTGTTGCTGCTCTTCGTAAGACTTTCGTCGAATCCAGGATTTGCGAAAATGCTGCTGCTCTTCGTCCTGTTGTTTCGCTCGGTGGTGGATGAACTGTTCGTGGGCTTCTTTCTCCTCGTGCAACTTTTCGATCTGGTTTACGTAGATACGTGAAAAGGTTAGTCATATGCAGGTACAGCAGGGTCTGCTGTATGTCATGTCCCGTCAATGTGTGAGATTGGGGGGGGTGTGGAGGGGGTGAGTTCATTTATTCGGTGAAAGTCAGACAAACAGGGGTATAGATCTGTTTGTCTCACAACCGTGAACAAGCAAGAGCGAAGCACACACACACACACACACACAGAAAGAATGAAAATTCCAAAGAGAGATTTATTGGAAAGACAGCTAAAAGAGAAAGGGGATGAAACATACTTGAGCAATCCACAATTCCTGCTCCGAACTCCAAGCTTTCTGACATCGAGCCAGTTCGCTTCTCGCAATTGCTAATTTCCGTTCCTGTTCCATCGTCCACCGACATCGATCTCCAGCCAGACTGGCCCAGCTGGCGATGCGCACCAACCCCATCCGACTACTGCTGCCGCTGCTTCTGCTGCGGCTACTGCTGCTGCTGCTGATGTTGCTGCTGCCCAGATGCGAGTCGATTGCGCTCACCGCCATGTGGGCATGACCATCGGTCAATGCTGCATAGTCATCTGGGTACTGCACTGCGCCCCAGCGAACCTCGATGGGCGGGTCAAAGTCGATTTCTTTCCCTTTCCAGGTAGAGGAGGGGGAGATGGGGGAGATGGAGGAGGGGGAGTGATGTTGTCGATGTTGTTGTTGTTGTTGTTGTTGCTGCTGCTGCTCGGTTCGCTTGTTGGTGAACAGGGACAGGCGCAAGACATACTTGACTGGATTGCTGACCCCCATTTTTCCTTTTTCTTTTCCGTACATATAAAAAAAATGTAAATTTTGTCTGCCTGATCTTCCTGCTGATCTGTTCTTTGCTTATCGATTCAAAGGGACTGGACAGTAGTATGGTGGTGGACTTGACCGTTGCAGTTCACTTTGGCTAAGCTGACAGAACTGTTCGACCAGTTGTAAATGAACTCAGGCACACACACAGACAGACACAGACAGACACACACAATAGATTGTGTATACTACGGGCCATTTGGAAATCCCCCTTTTTATATACATCATATCGACCCGGTCACTCCTACTAATACTACTACCACTTACTACCAACAGCACTCGATGCATCTATCACTTCGGGGAACGGTTTACTACTACGATACCTTCGTTTCTCGCCCTGCATACTTTCCTTACCCGAGGCGGCCAGGAAATCCGGTTTTAGGCGCCATAGGAGACACAACCCGACATCAGGCTTCTAAAATGGGGCTAGGCTCGTATGTCGCCTGCTTCCGCTTGGCTGGCGCTCCAGGATGTCTGCACTGTGCAGTCAGAACTACAATGTTGGGACCAATGAGGGACGATGATGTACCTCGAGTTCGTCAGACCATGAAGTAAGTAGTAGTTGGCAGGTGGCAGGTCAACCCCCGTTTTCTGTGACTGCTACTATTTCCGTGAAACTACTATGTAGCCACCCCGTGGAGAAGTAAACGTGGCAGTAGGAGCGATACTTGACCACGACCCATAAAGGAATAGGGTCGAAAGGTTGAGAAACTCACCAAATTGACGGGACGTTGCGGACGTCACAGAGCAAACACCGATGCCCGCAGCACGACACGTTCCATGAAGATCGGTCAACTGTGCTGCATTCATTGGTCTATACAGGGGGCACTAGAAAGTCAATTCTGCGAATCAGATTCCAGGCCAAACAATTGTGTTCCGAACCTGGCTGACAGGTGCGCTCTTTTGCCAGAGTAGGGAACCATATGTGCTGCATACACCAATGGTGTTGTTGCGTTCCATTCCAACATATGAACGAGTAAGAAATAAAAAAATAGGTTGGCAGCTGACTCATGGAGATCCAATCGGGTGTGGAGAGTC